GTGGCCGCCGGCCACGGAGGAGCCGTGTCACCTGGCCACCGCCGACCTGAGCCTGGGCCACCCCGCGGTGTCGACCTCGGGGGAACGGCCAGGACCCTGCTGCCCGCTATGATCCCACTCGGCCACCCCTGATTCCCGCACCTCTATCCCAGACAGGGAGTCTCCACTAACTTCTTTTCGGGAGCTCCACCGTGCCCTTCTAGGTGCAGGGCGACCTTGGCAGCCCTGACGGTGCAGACCCTCCGGAGTGCCCAGAAAGCCCACCGGGTGGCCTGGTGCCTCCCTGGCTCTTTCTGGATGGAGGCGCTTCCGGAGGGAGCCAGCTGCATGCTTTGGCCTTCACCTTGCAGCCTCTGCTGACCACACCTCCCCTAGCACAGAGGCTGCCCCAGGAGCAGGAAATGCTGTACCAGGTGAGGCCCAGTGGGCAGCTGGCCTGGGCAACTGGGAATGCGTCCCTTAAGAGGACTTGGACAGGATTCTGAAAAGCTAGAGGAACCCCAGTCAGCCTGTCTGGGGAGAGAGGAGGGCTAGATGTGGGGCCACCTCTGGGCAGGCCAGCATGGACTCTCAGGATCCCTGGACATCAGGCTGGGATGGCAGCCTAATGCTGCCATGTGTTACAGTGCTCTGGACACCTGCCTTCCCAGGGAGCTGAAGTGGCACCAGTCACACACAGCCTGCTGGTGGCCTTAGAAGACTAAATGAGTTCCCAGAGCAGACCATGGAGCCAAACAGAGTTGAAGGGAGCAGGGGGATGTTGGTGGACAGTCTCTTTTGTCAGAGAGCTCTTCAGATGTCCCTTCGGTGACCTCAGCTCCCCTGCCTTGTGAGGAGCAGATTCCTACAGTTGTCTCACTGAGAGACACAGCTGCACAGGGTGCCCTCAGAGCCCTACCCCAAGCCAGGACAAAAAGCCCTGGCTCTGTGCAGGAACAGGGTCCAGGGGCCACTGCCACCTTGCCAGCCCTGAGCCTCCAGACCACCCTCACTCCACTTCTCTGCTATGATCTGCACTGTGTTGCTTTTGCAGTTGGGGTGGAGCTGCCAACACTGGGGTGGTCAGAGGCAGAACTGGAGAGCCTTTGGGGGTTGGTGACACCTGGCTGGGTTTTTGCAGCACCCTCGCCCATCTGAACAGCTTCCTTCCTTCCTCTCAGCACAGCTGGCTCCCCGGGATCCGGGTCTGACTGCTAGGATGGAGGTGGAGCCGGCAGCCAAGACCTTCGTGCTGGAGCTGCGATGTCTTGACGATGGGGGTCCAGGGCCCAACACCCTCTCAGGTGAGAGGCTGGGAAGGGCTGTCAGGCACCTTGAGAATCCTTGATAGAGCCCCAGGCTTGCTGTGCCAGGAAGAGGCCTGAGGGTAACAGGCAGCCTGCACCAGCTTGTATCAGCCAACCATATCAGGCTGAGGTCCAACTGATAAGGGGCTCCCTGGCAATATGACTGTCCCAGTCCCTAACCCCACATTTATGCCCCCTGGAATCCACTGCTCTGTGTTCCCAGCAATTAGAGGTCTCCATCATTCTTCTACCTGACCCTGGCTCCCAACTCAATTTCCTGGACAGAATTCAGGCACTGACAGTGGTGTCTCTTCCTCTACGTCTTTTGCCTTAGACATGGGCTCCAAGGCTTCTTTTCTCCTGTAGCCTCTAACCTTGTCCACTTTTCTTTGACCTCTGCTTCCATCTGTTTTTCTCTACCTAATTCCCAGAGGCAATTGTTGTCCTGCAGAACCTTCCAAGACCTCTCTGCTCACTCTGGGCAAAACTTTGCTGGTGGCCTCACTCTCAAGAGTCAGCTTCCACTCTGTACTTTAAGAGTGCTGTACAAGGGTGGGGGCAGGGTTGGACAGAGCTTGAAAAGGACCAAGGGAATTGGAGGAGCCAGATGGGGATGTGTGGACTAAACAAGGAATTTCTGACTTGATAAATTTAACTGACAAAATCTTGGGAGAGTATATACATTAGACAACACCTCTAACTAAATGTTCATTAAAATGCCTTTATTAAAAATGCTGAAATTGCTGTCCTAGGAAGTCAGAGTTGACATATGGCCAAGCACTATGCTAGAGAAGAGAAGGTTCACACAGAGGCATGATCTGTCCCTGTTGCTCCCAGAGGAGGTGGGGGAAGGGAATGTCTATGAGACATTGGACTTAACCAAGGGACAGGTTTTCATGGCTGTCTTCACCTGCCATGTGCGTCTTCCCAATGGTATGAGTGTCTTTGAAAAAGAAACTCACTGATCCATTAGCCTAAGCTAATGGTTATTAGGAATATTTTACTGAAAATTTTGTATACATGCAGATAACCCTTGGTTTTATTAAATCAATTATTCCTGGAAATGTGACTAGAAAGCACAATTTTTTTAAACCATTGCTTTCCACTACAAAATTGAACATATGGTGGTATAGGAAGAAGTGATGTTGAAATCAGACTTGGGAATGGAGGAAGCCTCCTAGGGTCACTCATGCAAAGAAGAATTAGGAGTTTCTGATAGCACCATAGTAATACTCTAAAGGAGAGGCTAACTGTGGACATTGCACAGAAAGGGAAACCTGGTGAGGGAATCACTCTTGTTTATGCAGTGCTTACCCTGTGCCCTACTCAACACTGGGGCTTCACAGTTATCCTTTCTCTGAAAAGGAGTTATCCCGTTTTACAGAAGGGGAAACTGAGGTTTCCAGAGGTTAGGTAACTGGTCATTCATCGTGTTGAGGCTGTGAGTTAGTCCTTTTCATTCCCGAATCTAAACATGTACAGTACTTAGGCAGTTTCAAATGGAGCAGGTTGTATCCTTGGTACTTTTTATTACTTTGTAAACTAATCCTGACCTGCAGAGAGCGAAAGTGTTTAAGCACCTCCTAGATTGTAGGGAATATACCTGGGTCCTTCCTGCTTTACCCTTAAGTGGATGATGTGAGTGTCACTAAGCTGTGAGTCTGCTGGAGGGGATAAAGCTGTTCATCCATAGAGGACCTCCTTCTAAACTGAGGACCTCCTGCCTGGAACCAGGGGTCTCTCTGACACTTTGGTAATTTTTGGCAACTACTTGTGGTAACACTTCTAGGCAGCTTTATGGAAATTCTTTACTCTCTACAGAAGGTGAGTTTCATTTATTTAAGGTATGACCATAGCTGAAGTCCGACTTTAACACAGGGTTGATGGCTTGGCCATTGGAATAGTCAGTTCACTGATTCCCACTGGATGGTGATTAAGCACAAGAGACTTCTAGGGGAATGGTATCAGGGAGACCTAGGTGCCCTTGCTGGTATCACTGCCAAGATCTAAACATGGAGCATGTGTGAAGGGAAGCCAAGCAGAGGGGTCAGGAAGCTGGGGTCGAGCGACATGACCAGTAGTCCCTTGAGCATATTTTCTAAGCCACACTACCCCTCACCCCCACAGCATCTCAGTTTCTGCTCTGCTGACATTGTCATTTGTTCCAACACTTTTGGGTCACTGCTGAGAGCACATTAGTATATACTTGAGTGGCTGTATATGGGCAGGGAAAGGGGGCAGGTCTAGGGCTCTGGATGGGAGAGCTATCTGTAAATCTTTCCCTCCTGGCCTCCTGTCATTTCTGCTATAGGTGGCAATGCTGGCAGCAAGAGTCAGGAGGAGGAAGAGGCTCAGGAGGGAGGCAGCAGCTTACAAGAGCCAGCCAGCTCAATCTCAGCCCCAGTAAAGGCCAGTGAAATCACTGAGGAAGCCCAGACAGAACAACAGGGGTTACAGCAGTCAGAACAGCAGCCACAGCTGCAGCAACAGCCACAGCCTGAACAGTTACAACAGCAGCAACCACAAAACCAACTATTAGGACATCAGCCAGAATTGCAACAGCAGCAGCTGCAAGATGGACAACAGCATCTGTCTCAAATACAGCAAGAACTACAGGAAAAACACCAATCCATGCAGCATCAGGAACTGAAATCAGAACTGCAGCTAATGCAACAGCAGCAACAGTTACAGCAGCAGCAAGTGCAAGAACAACAGCAGGAGCAGTTACAGCAGCAGCAAGTGCAAGAGCAACAGCTGTTACTACAGCAACAAGAACAGGTACAGCAGCAGCAAGTACAAGAACAACAGCTGTTACTGCAGCAGCAAGAACAACAGCAACAGTTGTTGCTGCAGCAGCAAGTGCAAGAGCAACAGTTGTTGCAGCAACAACAGGGACAGTTACAGCAACAGCAGATGCAACCATTGTTGCAGCAGCACCAGGAACAGTTGCAGCAGCAGCAGCTGCTACAACAGCAGAAACTGTTGCAACAGCAGGAACAATTACAGCACCAACAGTTCCAACAGCAACAAGAACAGCTACAGCAGCAGCAGCTACTGTTGCTGCAGCAGCAGGAACAATTACAGCAGCAGCTGTTGCAGCAGCAGCAGGTGCACTTACAGCAGCAGCTGTTGCTGCAGCAGCAGGAACAATTACAGCAGCAGCTGTTGCTGCAGCAGCAGGAACAATTACAGCACCAGCAACAGCAGCAGGAACAGTTTCAACAGCAGCAGCTGCAGCCAGAGGAGGAGGAAGAGGTGGAGCTGGAGCTCATGCCGGTGGACCTGGAGTCGGAGCAGGAGCTGGAGCAGCAGCGGCGGGAGCTAGAGAGGCAGCAGGAGCTGGAGCGGCAGCAGGAGCAGAGGCAGCTGCAACTCAAACTGCAGGAGCAGCTGCAGCAGCTGGAGCAACAGTTGGAGCAGCAGCAGCGACTGGAGCAGCAACAGCTGGAGCAGCAGGAGGTGCAACTGGAGCTGACCCCCGTGGAGCTGGGAGCCCAGCAACCAGAGCTGCAGCTGGAATTGGTACCCACCGCAGGGGGTGGTGGAGCGGCAGTGCCGGGGGCGCCGGCAGCGGTCGTGGTGGCCCCGCCTGGCTACGTGGTGCTGCAGGAGCTCATGGTGCTGCCCACCGTGACCACACCGACCGTGGTGGCCATCCCGGGCCCGGCAGGCAGCGCAGCGCTAACACCTGCGCGGCAGCGGCGGCGGCGGCGTGCCCGGGACCGGCCGACCATCTGTGGAGAATGCGGCAAGGGCTTCAGCCGGAGCACTGACCTGGTGCGGCACCAGGCCACGCACACTGGCGAGCGGCCGCACCGCTGCGGCGAGTGCGGCAAGGGCTTCTCGCAGCACTCAAACCTGGTGACACACCAGCGCATCCACACGGGCGAGAAGCCCTACTCTTGCTCCTACTGCTCCAAGCGCTTCAGCGAGAGCTCGGCGCTCGTGCAGCACCAGCGCACGCACACAGGCGAGCGGCCCTACGCCTGTAGTGACTGTGGCAAGCGCTTCAGCGTCTCCTCCAACCTGCTCCGCCACCGGCGCACGCACTCGGGCGAGCGGCCCTACGTCTGCGAGGACTGCGGGGAGCGCTTTCGTCACAAAGTGCAGATCCGCCGCCACGAACGCCAGCTGCACGGCGCTGGCCGCTCTCGGGGTCTTGGGTTGCTGCGCGGCCCCCGGCCCTCGGCCCCCGGCAGTACCTCGCGCGCCGAGCAGGCCGCAGCGGCCACCAAGGCGCCGTGAACCTGGGAGCAAGGGCACGCGGGCGGTGGGGGACACAGAGGGTGATACCTTGACCCTGGCGGGGGCTCTTGGTCGCTCACTGGAGACATTCTGGAATGGCCTTGGAGAGACAGGCCTCCCTCGTCCCTTGGAGTCCCTGAAAGTATCATCCCCCCAAAACCATTCGTAAGAGAAAAGCCAACCGAGGCAGAGACAGCACACGGGGCACTTTTGTTCCTCAGCAGTGGTGGCCCAGAGGGCTGTCTACTTAGAAATGAGAGTCACAGAGGAAACTCGGCCACAATTCGTTACTTTTGACGTGGACCGGACACTAACCCAGGGAATCAAATACTTAACGGCAAAACGCACACGGGAAAGATTTGATCCTGGTGAAATTATTTCAAGGAGAAAAACGGGCATAAAAAGGAAACTTACCTGCACTATGTAGAAAACTGATGAAGGCATTGAATTGTCCTCAAGGGCATTTGCCTTGAAAATACTTTGTAGGATGAAAGTTCATCAGGGTGGATGTAATTCTGATGAAAATGCCTGTGTTTATAAACACAGGATCAGAGTGTTCACGGGGTCAATGTGCAAATAAATGCTGGGCAGTCCTGCTCTGGGCCAAAGGTAAAACCTTCCCTCCAAGGGAACCCAGGGCTCTGGCATTATAAACAGGTTCTAGGTCTCTGCTGCCACGCTCCCAACCCCACTGCCTTCCCCTGAAGTCCCGGGAGTAAGAGCTATGGCTGAAGCAGAGGAGTTCTGGGGGTGTTCAGTACAGAAGAAGGACCTAGAAGGAGTCCTGGGTATCCCCTCTGTGGGCTCCCTGGGATCCACTGACTAGCCTGGCACCTTGAATCAGGCTATGATGGCAATGGGGCTTAGGCTGCCAAGCAGACCCTCCCCCATGCCTGGGGGCTAGGGGAAGAATGTTGGGGATAAGATTGGAGGCAATAGAAATGCTTTTTATCACGTTTACCAAATCGTCTGGGGCTGGAGCAACAGCAATTGCTGATGCCTGTGGAAAAGTGAGGCATCAGGCATCTGCCGCCACTCTGGCCCCCACAAGCACTTCCTGCTGCACCTGACTTTTCATGTGTGGCTGCTTAGTTCCTATCCTTCTCTTCCCTCCCTGCTTCTCCTTTACTAACACAGCCTGCTACATTTTTACAAATGTGTTGGTAAGTGAGAAACAAAAAATGAAAAATAAAATGAAACTGTGTCCTATCTTTGGGTCTTCATCTTTGAATTTTGGGTCTTGCCCTGGGGAATAGGTTTCTAAAGAAAATTGTCCTCTTTGCCCTTGAATCCAACTTAGTGTTCAGGCTCATTACTGAGTCTTCCTAACCCCTGACCCACCTTCCATTCCCCTTGGCTGGGGGATGGACTGACTTAGTAAGACCCTCCTGGGGTCAAGGACCAGAAATAGTGGCTTTGTAAGGATAAGCTCCATGTTGGATGGCCACTTGGAGGGGAGTCATGAGCCTGAACACCCATTCAGTCCCGAGAGTCCTGATTCCAAGACTCAACTAGCACATATTCTTAGGTCCTTTTTGCTATTCTTATCTCCTCCTGCCCCCAGCTTTTACCTCCAGCATCCCCATCCTCAACCCTTCTTTGAAGAACAACCCTTGGGCTACTGGAGCCCCTTTAAACCTGTGCAGAAAGCCCGATGTACCTGAGAAGTGCCTTCTCTGATGGTGGCCCTTAACCCTTTAAGACAAGAATGGGAAGAGAGTGCAAGCCAAGTTTGCCCACTTCTGGCCAGGAGGGCTTAAAGGCACAAATCACAGTTGATTTTGGCTGTGGGATCCACTGAGGCATCTTTTGCAGGACTTTGCTTGGGACTATACCTTTCCTCTTCTTCTGGTCCTTCCTTGCCCCACTTCTCTTACTCTGACACAGTAATCCTGGGAAGAGGAGTCTAAAGGTGGGATTCTGGACTTGGATCACTTGCCTATCAGGTAACAGGGACCTGCTTGTGTGTGTGTGTGTGTGTGTGTGTAGGGGGTCAATGGAGGTTGCTTTGGCTGCTATACCAATAAGCAGGTCAAGCTATGGGGTGGGAGGAGGAGCTGAGACTAATGCCTACCTTGAGCATTTAAGATACACAGTGGAAGTGGTCACTATAGGGACCATGGGATTGGTTGGTTCGGCTGAGCACAGTTCATGCCATGATGAAGGAAAACGAGGGTTTCAGGTCCATAGTCATCAACCAAAGTCATAAAGGGTCAGTCAGAGGCCCCTGTGCAGTGTTTAGAGATTCCCATTTCTGTTAGCCAAGGATAGGCCAACAGAGAAACTTCACAGAAGGCTGGACTAGATCCATATCTGGGCCCTGATGTAGAAGGAGTTGGACCTTTTGGCTTGGATTAAAGATATCTGGGTGACAAGCTTGAGGCCACTGAGTCTCCATGTTCCCCTCAAAACTCGGGGCCTCCCCCTTGGGGACCCCCCCTCCAGCCGTGGGCCCATTTTTCCTTTCAGGGACAGCAGCTGCATCCTTCTCCCCTTGCCTGAAGACTACACAAAGGTCTGTCTGTCTTTCTTTTTTTGAGACAGAGCCTCAAGCTGTTGCCCTGGGTAGAGTGCTGTGGCATTACAGCTCACAGCAACCTCAAACTCTTGGGCTTAAGCGATTCT